ATAGAAACTTTTTAAAATCCAACATTTTAGATGCTGTTTGTCACTTATTTATCATGTTTGTTTCTTTTTTTTAAAATGTTATACTCCAAAAGATGTGGTTTCCTGATGTAAAGCTCAAAGTGCGAGTATTATGTCCTGGTACCAATAGGTTAGAAAGGCATTCAGAAAGGAATGTTTAACTACTCAGTTTGGGGTCAGAAAGGAAATAAATATTATATTAATGGACAATACAGGCAGTCCCCGACTTACGCGGATCTGACTTATGTCGGATCCGCACTTACGAACGGGGCTCTCTCGCCCCGGAGCTCACATGCAGCCTTCAGCCACCTTGACCTCCGGGGCGAGAAAAGCTGCTCCCAGTGCCCCTGGTCTGCTGGGGGAGGGGGGTACACTAGCTGCGCTCCCCCACCCCCTCAGCAGACCAGGGACCCCGCGAGCAAACCCGCAGCAGCGGCGTATTCCCCCGCTTCTGAGGCTTTGCTCTGGCGCGGGACCCGCTTTGCTCGCGGTGCCCCTGGTCTGCTGGGGGAGGGGGGTACACTAGCTGCGCTCCCCCACCCCCTCAGCAGACCAGGGACCCCGCGAGCAAACCCGCAGCAGCGGCGTATTCCCCCGCTTCTGAGGCTTTGCTCTGGCGCGGGACCCGCTTTGCTCGCGGTGCCCCTGGTCTGCTGGGGGAGGGGGGTACACTAGCTGCGCTCCCCCACCCCCTCAGCAGACCAGGGACCCCGCGAGCAAACCCGCAGCAGCGGCGTATTCCCCCGCTTCTGAGGCTTTGCTCTGGCGCGGGACCCGCTTTGCTCGCGGTGCCCCTGGTCTGCTGGGGGAGGGGGGTACACTAGCTGCGCTCCCCCACCCCCTCAGCAGACCAGGGACCCCGCGAGCAAACCCGCAGCAGCGGCGTATTCCCCCGCTTCTGAGGCTTTGCTCTGGCGCGGGACCCGCTTTGCTCGCGGTGCCCCTGGTCTGCTGGGGGAGGGGGGTACACTAGCTGCGCTCCCCCACCCCCTCAGCAGACCAGGGACCCCGCGAGCAAACCCGCAGCAGCGGCGTATTCCCCCGCTTCTGAGGCTTTGCTCTGGCGCGGGACCCGCTTTGCTCGCGGTGCCTCTGGTCTGCTGGAGACCGTCTCCAGCAGACCAGGGGCACTGGGAGCAGCTTTTCTCGCCCCGGAGGTCAAGGTGGCTGAAGGCTGCATGTGAGCTCCGGGGCGAGAGAGCCCCGTTCGTAAGTGCAGATCCGACATAAGTCAGAGCCGCGTAAGTCGGGGACTGCCTGTATTTATTTTATTTCTCACTGACATCAAATTTGGAGCTATACATAGAAAGTAACGTTTTTCTCCTGATCAGTGTTCTGTTAACCAAGATAAACAAGATACCAACAACTTTAGTCATGAATTACAATGACTTAACCCCGCATTTTTCAAACTGTGGGTCCCAACCCCCAGGGAGTCGTGAGCAACTTAGACGGGGGAGCCACGGTATCACAAAGTTTGAGAACCCCTGACTTAATCCATAGTCATAAGCATCTGTGACCTTGTTAATTCATCTTACCATAAGTATGAATATCATTAAATTTACGCTCCTTTGTAAAGAGTTTAATAGATGAAAAGAGTTACAGAAAACACAAACTTTAGTATACTGAACATGATCATGTGTCACTGGAAAATGTATCTGTTACCTTTTCCATCCTCTTCAGGGTTGCGCACCACAGCTCTGAGAGTATGAAAATATCCACTTGTTTCATTGTATGTATAATGCAGCCTCATACAAGAGAACTTGGGCTTTCCAAAAAGGGTTGGTTCAGGACCTGAGAAATAAGCCAGACATCCATAATCTTGGGAGGGTGAGAAGCATTCTTACATGGAATAGCAGAACAAAGATTGCAAAAATTGTCAGCGCATATATATTTGAGAGAATTTGTCTATGCTCCTGTTTAAGAAGTCTTAAACGGTAAGAGCCAAAACCATCCAATCTGGTATACAGCATCCTCCTATAAGATAAAGCAAGGCAAGGGTTTGGTTGTGACAATAACATGGGTTTGCTTCTAACAAACCATACAGAAAAAAGAATCACAAGGCCGATGCAAGGGGTTGGCTGGAGAAGCCCCCTCTGCTGTGACTGCCCGAGGCCCTCATACCTCACCCCAGGCACACACCCTTTAGGGAAGGCAAAGGCAGCTGAAGCTCCCTCCCTCCCAAGTCATACATGAACATTCCCATAGCTGCCTGATGAAGGGGAACAGCCAGCAAAGTGCAGTTTGCTTCATTCCTCACTGGCTAGCAGGTGCAAGCGGCAGATGAATCTGGACCTACCCCAACTGGGGACATTCAACCCTCCCCTGGCTGTGCCCGCTGGAGCTGCAGTGGCCATGGAAAGGCACTTCTCATCTGGTCCCAAGATGTGTGGTGAGAGGGTTGAGGTGCAGTAATGTGAGGGCTCTAGCTATTGGTGTGGGCTCTACAGCGGGGCTGAGGTTGAGGGGCCAAGGACTGGGACAGATGTTGGAAGTGCAGGCTCTGGGTGGGGCTGGGATTGAGGGTACAAGAGAGGGACTCCAGGGTTGGAGAGAGACTAGGGCTGGGGGTTGGCATGCAGGAAAAGATACAGGCTCTGAGCTGAGGATGTGGGCTTTGGGGTGCAGGAGAGTGCTTAGGGATGGGGGGCTCAAAGTTGGGAAGGGGGTTATAGCTTGGGCTTATTTGGATGGTGAGGAGGGGCTCTTCCCCCCCAAGTGCTCCGGGCTGGGGCTAGTGGGGATGGGTACCCATCTTCTAGTCATGGTAGCTTTAGGGCTTGAAGAGAGCTCTCTCCCTGCTGTAGCCCACATCTGTGTGGGGTTTAATGGGAATCTGCGCATCTGAAGGGGAACTTAAGACTACCAACAACTCCTACATACATGCAAGTTTAGAAACCATGTGACAGATATTGCAACTGCATACATCATCTGTGGGGACCATTTTCTGTTAAGCGTATTAATGGTTTATACTCCCCGTCACACAGTGTTACGTAGAATCATGGAAATGGTGGGTCAGAAAAGGCCTCAAGAAGTCATCTAGTCTAGTGACCTGCACTCTAAGGCAGAACTAAGTAATAACTAGACCAGGGGCGGGCAATAATTTTTTTATGAGAGCCACACCAAGATTTTTGTAAGTGGTCAAGGACTACACTTTTCTATGGAGGAGGTGCAGGGTCTTGGACAGAGGTTGGGTTGGGTTTCAGAGGGGTAGTGCCCACAACCATCCTGTGGCAACCATGGGACACTGACTACAACCCCCAGATCCTTTTCAATAGCATTCTCGCCTAGCTAGTTATTTCTGTTTGTTGTTGGGCATTTGATGTTTTGTTCCTCAGTGCAATCATCAGCAGCTGCCATTACTGAATTTTATCTTGTTAATGTCAAGTCAATTCTCCAAATGTGTACAGATCAGACCAGCCAACAAGTGGGGAACAAATGGGGCAACTGCCCCGGGGCCTAGTAACTGAAAAGGACCTGGGATTCCCAGCCCTTTAAAATGTCCACTAGAGCCCTGTGCAGCACAGTCTGGGAGGCTTTGAGAGGTAGGTGGATTGGCAGGGCACGGGCGATGCTGAGGGCAGGCAATTCTGTTGGCATCCTTGGCCCAGACCATTTTGAATTCTAATCTTGTACCCCAATGTTTATACAATCCCACACAGCTTGGTGTTATGCACAAATTTTAGCAGCATATTCTCCACTCCATTATTCAAGACATTAATGTGAAACTGGCTTGTTTGGGACATCACAGTGAAGGCAAGGGACTCGTGCAGTCTACAAACCCCACAGCTGACGGGAGTATGGTAAGAGTCTCTACCCAGAGATAGGTGATGGCTGGAGACCTCACTGGGCACTTCTGAAGTGGACCACAGGAAAGGATGGGAGGAAGGGGAAATAGGTAGATGCAGTTACCTCATCTAGGAGATACCTACTGTACAACAAGAAAATAGCCTTCAAACCAGGTACCCCTGCTCTGCCCCTTCCCAAAGCCCTTCCCGTGAGCTATGCAAGCCAGGAGATTAGCTGGGCAGCCTGGCATGGGGTAGCAGCAGGGATCCATGCCCTGCTCCTCTCCACCCCGTTGCTCATCTCCCTGCCCAGTCCCAGCCTGCTGCACTCTGGGGAATGGAGCACAGCAGGCTAGGACCAGGCTGGGGCATTCTGCTTCTCCACTATACCACGGTGTTAGGAAGCAATCTGGCTGCTGGAGGGCAGGACCATTGCAGACTGCTGCTTGCATCACTCCGCTTTCTGGGCTTCTGCTGCTAAAGTGAGTGCGGGAGGGGAGCAGAGGCAGCCCCTGTTGCTGCTCCATACCAGCCCTCTCCCCCGTCTCCCAGGTAATCCCCCATGTCACTCTGGACCCTTATGGGCTCCCATCACAATGGGGGATCTTCCCAGCCACAGGACGATTGAGGCGGCTGCTGCAGGGCCCTCTATAGTGCAGGTCTCAAGGCAGCCTCCCTAAACCATCCTATGGACAGGATGTCTCTGGACAGTGGAACACTACGTTCTGAGAGTACCTTCAAAGAAGGGGGATAGTATGTAATGAAGTGTAGTGTCTTTCCATTCTTACCTATTTCTATTTTCTCCAATGCTTCAAGGCTTAGTCTTTGATACTGATTTACTTTGTCAACTTCATCATCATAACTAAACAGAGAAAACAGTCAATGTCCAAAGTTATCTCTTTACTCACCGCTAAAAACTTATTGTGCAGCACAAAGCTACATAATTCTGCATATACATTTGGTATGATTATTAACAGAACACAGTGCATGAAAAAAAAATTAGTGACTTACTAGGCCACATAGTAGGCAGAGTTCGAAAGCAGCAATAGAACATCCACATCTTTGTGAGTAGCATCAATGAGGCTACAAAACAAGTAGGCAAATATACACTATTGTTTAGTGATACAGCTGCAGCTGACAGACATTTTGCAGAGATTATGTTTTGGAGAGAAAAAGTCATCACCACAATATCAAAATAAAAAAGGAATTCAAGTAATTGTAACTATGAATGACCTAGATTTAATTAAAGGACTGTATAATATGCTGTGTGCTTAACATAGAAATCCTGGACTAATATATAGTTTTCCATTAAAAAGATGCCAGTGATATGCAAATACAATTTTGAAGAGCACAATTTTCTGTGAGGAATATAAATAGGGTGCATGAATAACACCATGCCGAATTTGCCTGGCTGAAGCTACAAATGAGGTTGAGTAGGATCATACCACTGGGTTTTCACAAGAGGCAGTGTTCATTCCCAGCTGAAGATGTTGGATGTTTCTAAGGATTGCTATGGGGACATAAAGCTTTGACTGCTGAATTTAAGATGAGTCACCTCCACACATTTATTAATTTTAGACTGTTTCGTGGCTTTTGTTAACAAAGCTATGCACATCTAGGTCCATCTCAGTTCCTAGGGGATAGTTTATCACGGCAAAAAAAGTAACATAACTGAATTGACATTTTCTCTGATAAACTTTAGCCTCTGAGACTAACCTGGCAGGAGACACAACCATCCTTTTATCTTTATAGGTCACATCACCTTAAAGTTTGAGGCACTTTGGCACAATGGAAGTCTGTGCTCCTATTGCCTACGGTGCATCCATACTGTGGTTAACAAGAGGACAGAGCTTTACAAATCTTGAATTCACTTAATCAAATATGGCTCCATTACACTACAAATTATAGGTATGCAGCACACCTCAGTTTGAAATGAATACGGGTAACATGCCCATTCTCCTTTATGTCCACAAATAGCAGAATATTCTCTTTATGGTGTCTGCTACACTTGCAAGTCAAAGTCATTAAAAAAATGGCTACATGGCCAGGTGACGTATCCCAGAACTAGTTCTATTACTCACCCATCTTTAGAATACGTATGAGACCGCATTTTAAGAAATATTCACCACATTAACCTGCTCCGGCATTCAGTTCAAACCACACTTTGAAGTGATTTGAAAAATACACATTACCAAGTACACTGGTCACTTTCTGCAAAAGTCTTCATTTGCAACATGCCTATAGAATGGATGTATCAAACTATCCAAGCTACAAATAAATTTAAGAGATTTAATAATTGTCAAAGACCCCAGGTTGGCAGATGGCCAATATAAAATGAATCAATTGTAATCTTGTTCTGCGTACCTTGGGTCACAATCAATAAGTGCCCATCCACCATGGAATTTTTCATCATCTGGTAAGAGTAGTTTCATGTAACTTTGCAATAACTGGCTAATCAGTTCCTGATGGCTTCTCAGTGTCTCCTTATGCAATGCTTCATGTTCTTTCTCTTTTGTAAATATAGAATAAAGATCCTCAGTCACTGGAACACCTTGCATCAAATCTAGACAGCAAAGATAGAAGGTAAATATAAGAAATTGACATAATTAACTGAAGCAGTCTGTTAACACTTGTCTATACATTTCTAAATAAGCTATACGCTCCAAAACCTTGGGGAGGAGGGAGGGAAATGTCACAACAGTAAACTCCTATTTTACAAACTAATTGGGGACTGACATCACAAATTTAAGAAGTTCATAAAATTGAACATCTCAAAGTTACAGTATGACACTTTCTTCTTATTCTCCAAACCCCTGCAGGGTGATTTCCAATATACTGAAGACATCAGAATGTGAAGGGATATTCACTTGTTCTTTACAGACATCATTTAAGTTGTGATTTTTATTTGTAATATTGGTATGTAAAAAATCCAGGGTATGGCCCCCAACATCTTCTCAAGATATGCTTCGGGAATTTTGCTCAGAAAAATTTAGCTAAAAAGCTTTTCTTAAAAAGCAAATGACTAGAACCAGCTTCCAAGAAGCAAGTTTATTCTAATTGTACTGTATGAATAACATAAATGGATAGAGCAAAACACTTTGTGTATCATAAGTTACCAGTCAATCATAAAATGAGGTTATGGCCATATAATCCCACTAAGCAAACTGTCATCTACTACAATGCCATGTTGTATAAAAGTGTAAATCTCACAGAATGTGATTATGTCTTTTGCTTAACCTTTTGCAAGTGTGCATCACAGGAATGCAAGATATTTTCCCAAACATTCATAAAAGCAGACAAATATGCAATAATTCAAATGAAAATAGTTATATTTTCCCCTTACCTATGACTGCTTGCCTATAAGCATCCCTAAAGCGATTCAAGTAGTATCTGTTTGCAGAATTGACTCCATCTTTCATTACTCCTGCGAGTTTCCTTTCACCAGTTCTTGTGAAGTCACCCTATTACATAGAAACACTCCTTTCAACAATTACTCAAATGTGAGGCATTTAAACAAACTTCTCAGCTCTCAAAAAGCTATTTTTGAGATTAGTGTACAAAATGTATAGCTGAATGAGCGAAATTTCAGGGAATGAAATTTAAAGTTGCTTTGTCTGCCAAATAAAGATACATTAAGAATCCACAATAAAGAGAATATTTTCTTTACATGTGAAACAAAAGAATTTACAAATACAGTTCAAGAAATGTTTAAATCTCTGGAGAAACTTAAAAAAATGCTGACGACTAACTTGGTGCTGCAGCATTTTAACATACATTATACCTACAAAGAAATCATTTCTATCAACTTCTAGAATAAACTTCTCATGGATATTTGTTCAAAGTAATATCAATTAAGATAATAGATTATTGCATGACCTGTATATGCAAAACTGTACATTTCAAGTCTCAGGAGAGGCTGAAGAAAGAAATAAAGTCTGAATATTTATCCTATCTATTAATATTAGGATAGGTCACATAGGATTTTTTAAATTAAAAATAAATGAAGGGATCATTATCCTTCAGACTTGTTTGAAATGCATTTTTCTTTTTTTCTTGTCATTGCTCAAGGTTAGAATCTTTTCAATTCCATTATTAATACTAATCAAGCGCCATGCAAGGAAGGACAATGAGCTAACTTGAACTGAGTTATCTATGTCCAAATAGTTGCCCTCAACCATGATCCTCAGTAAGTAGTTGACTTGTGCAGGCAAACCAGGACCTGCAGCATCAAGAGTCAAAATTCTTCAGAGCAAAGAGTTTTGCCAGTGTCACTCCTGGATTTTACTTCATGAGGATCCTAGCAGAAAACTTCCCTGATTTCAGAGCCGCTGGGCACCTACAAAGCTAACAGGAACTACCAATCACCAACCTCTCAAAATCCCTTCAAGTCCTATAAATCCATGATTCCACTGGGACATAGCACCACTGAAAATCAGGTCAATTATCTTTAAAGAAAAATAAGTTTCAAGAATATTTAATTTTAGGACCCTAAGAAATGTATCCATTGCAAGATTGCTCACACTTCCAGGTGAATATCTTGGTTGTCAAAAAACAAGCATCTTTGTGTAAACTAACTATAAACACATCTTTGTGCTTAGTCTATTTGCTTGACAGGAACAAATTAAAGATATGATGGGAGGAAAACAATCACTAGTTTAGTCTATGAGGATTCTAGCCAGGCAACCTTATTGATTTATTAAGTGACTAGCAAGTGCTGTAGCAGACAAAAATAAAGACCAACTCTACCTGAGGAGAGTAAAATTACAAGAGATGGCTTAACAACAGTGCAATCTGCTGCCAATATTTAGGATCTCCAACACCAGGATCTGGAAAGATTTCACCAGTGTTTGTGAATATGGAGAACAATTTGCTTAGTTCTTTAATAATCCCTTGTAAAAATAAAAGGAGCAGCATCTACCAAAGGAAAGGGTCGCAGCTGTGAGGTAAAGAACTCTTAATTCTGGTGTTGGCAGGTAAAAAGCCTTTAAAGTTTGCCTACAACATTAAATAATGGAAAAATAATCCTTATAAGTATTTGTTTTTAATGATAGCTGGTTGATTTTCCTCACCATAGCGAGAAAGGCAGACTATCCTTTGCTAAGTTATTCAACACAGGTATTTTTGAAAGATTATCCATGTACTCTGCTGAAATGTAACTCAAAAGATTACAAAACAGGGAAGTTTCAATATTAATCCAGTTCTTATACTATTTTTCTCATAGAGTCAAGCTATTTAACTCCAGAACTGTCATGACCTGAAGAATGCTGGAAACTCTGGCAAAACTAGACATTCATTCCATGGGTCCAATAAGTGGTTCTCCAACTGTCTAATATCATTCTACAGAAATCCCCCGAGAGTCCACGGAATCTCCAAGAACTGTACAGATGTGATTAAACGTTAGCTGATTTTATAGTGTCATTTTTATGTGCATCTTTTAAAAACCAATAAACTAAATTACTTCTACTGCATATTGGATAATAATTCATGAAACTTGACAAAGTACTCATTACACTATGTTTTTGTTTGGTGGTTTGGGGTTTTTTGTTTGTTTTTTTACCTTTAAAGCTGCTGTTCCGGCATACTGTCTGCTTATGGAATCTCCATTGTTTGCCCACATTATCTGGTAGATTCTATTGCATTTCATCGGCAAAGGCTGTTCTGGTGGCATCACACCCAGCTTTTTCAGCTAGAATTTGACACATTTATTAGTGGGTAAGGTCAATGTGACATTCTCTCTCAAATGACAAACTCAAAGACAAATATTAATACAGTACACATTTTAGTAATTACATCGTTACTACATTTTCTTTGTTGAGTTATATTTTACAATCAGAAAAAAAGAGTTTAAGAATGTTTGTTTTTCAGGACAGTCAATTTGAAGATACCAAATATTCAATTCTATTTAGTTTCTATGTCTTCAAAGGCGACATTTCTTTGGACCAAAAAATAAAAAAATACCAGGTTTATTTTTTTAAGTGATTTAAGAAGAGCAATGGTCAATGAGGAACTTTTGAACTAATTTTCTTTCAAAGATTTTAAAAAGTAAGGAACTGGAGAAGTGAAGTAAAGCAAGAAAAAACAAAGCAGCAACTTTAAGATTTCAAAGTGGTTGGCTAAAGATAGTTTCAGAGAGAAGCTATTTTTCACCCTAGTAAGATAGCTCTGACGTTGAGGAGGATTTTGTTGTAGGCTATTTTCTGACACATTGAAAAGAACAGTTACTCACTTGTATTTTGTTCTTTGAGATGTGTATGTCCATTGCAGAGAGAGAGAGAGAGAGAGAAACTTGTGTGCTAGTTTCAGAGTTTTCTCTAGCAATATACATAGAGCACCCAGGCTTGAGCTCTAAGCTCCTCGTGCTACCAGAGGACAGTACAGAACATGGAACTGTCCTGCTCTCCCTTGAGTTCCTCCACAGCAGACCCCATGTTGGGGAAGAAAAATCATGTAATAGATTTCTACAACACACGTCAAACAGCAAGTATCATGAAAGCGAGCAACCAATTTTGCTTCTTTGAATAATGGCAGATGTCTCTTACAATAGATGGCTCTCAAGCAGTTTCCAATGCAGACAGAGCTAGGAGTCTTATTAGAAGATAAACGGATTTCTCTATATTAGCATCTTTTTTACAGCAGTAATTACTATGTCCAGAAACAGCGTGGACTATTGCAGAGCAGCAGTGTGGTCCAATATCCACAACCGGGACATTATTCACAAATGCTGTGGCTGCTGAGCAAACACTGGTTTAATGCACAAACAACTAACAGCCTTGGTATTGTATTGTAATAAATAATGCCATTTAGGCAGCTATTGCATGTTGCAGGACATTCCCCCAATCATTCTGCACAGAAAGAAAAATAGTTTGAAGGGGATGCAAAAGGGCTTTGTTTCATTTAAATAAAAACCCAAGGCTTGAACATCCAGAGTGTGCCCTTGTGTTCACTCTTACAAGCATGTGATATTGGAATCACTAATTTGTAATTAATACAAATTCATTGAAATGATCAAAAGACAGGAGGAGACCCAAGCTGTACCTTGTCCTTGAAGAAAACAACATATAGAGAATATGTTAAAATGGGGGTGGGGAACCTTTTTGGGGTTAGGGGTCACTGATCCACAGGAAAATCAATCAGGGCTGCTCACAAGTGAGAAGCAAAAAACAAAACACACAAATCCTCACTGACATGGACCCCGACTGAGGAGAAAGACACTCCCATATTTCCCTTGCACACCAGAGCCTAAAGGGGCCCAGGCTAGTACCCAAAATCTACTAGCCTGGGTGGGGAGCCCTACACCCTGGGGGCCGGATCCCTGTGTTAAGGCATGCAGCTCTCTACTCTCCTCACAGATATGGTAGCAATTGAAAAGCCACCTTTGCTGAAACGTTGAGCCATGGCTCAGACAGGGTTATCAGTTCATGGGTAACCCTAAATTCAAATCCCATTGTGGGGCAGGGTCCCTAGCTGGTGAAAACAACATAGACCACTCAAGAACCTGGCAGCAACAGGACTGGAGAAAACAGCTCTATCTGTAATACAGATGTGGATTGCTGAGACTGCAGCCAGGATGCCCACTGATCGAACTGCCTGCCAAATCTGACCTTCAAGTGACCAACAGTCTAAGATCTTTTTAACCATATTGTACGTAATGGACACTGTGTCTAGGTGCCCAGACAGAAAATCACTTTCACTTACAAAAGTAAGCCGCCCTTGTGGAGGTTTTCATGTAGGACCATAAGACCTGCCATACTGGGTCAGAGCAAAGGTCCATCTAGCCCAGTGTCCTGTCTTCTGACAGTGGTAAATGCCAGGTGCCCCAGAGGGAGTGAACAGAACTGGGAATCAAGTGATCCATGCTCGGTCACCTATTTCCAGCTTCTGGCAAACAGAACCTAGGGTTTCCTGCTATGAAGCAGGACAATCCAGACCACATTTCTGAACAATGTGTCTCAGAGTGTAGCTCTGGGTGGGGAACCTAAGGCCTGGGGGCCAAATGCGGGCCCCAGCTTGCCTGGATCCAGCCTCCGGCCCCCAACACTCAGTCCCCTCCCCCATCCCACCACCACTGCGGAGAGTCCACACTCCAGCCCACCGCAGGGCTGAAGCACACAAAATCTATAAGTCTGCCCCATCCCCCCCAGGCTCCGGTGTGTGAAGGGAATGTCTTTCTCCTTCTCAGTCAGGGGCCACATCAGTGAGGGTTTGTTTGGGTTTTTTTTGGCAGACTTGTGAGTGGTCCCCAACTCAAAAAAAAGTTTCCCACCCCGATCTAGCCACTAAATAAATGACAACAGAAGTAGAGATTAAACAAACCACAAAGTATCAGCTACATTTATGGAGCCTTACAACAGCTGCCTTGCCAAGAGCTGACACTCTATTATGATGTTCCCAATATTAAAGAGACGATTATGATCAATAAAAGTGGTGCGTGTATTAAAATCAGTGTGACCATAGTTTGCCATCAAAGCCTGATAAGCTATTTTAAACTGGAAATCTAGAGAAGAGTATCTTTTTATCTCCAAAATAAAGTAGTATCAGCTCTGGAGACCCATTTAAAAGAGTTTGAGAACCGCTGGCCTACACCACAATTAAACAACCCCTTAGACCAGTGGTCCCCAACGCAGTGCCTACGAGCGCCATGGCGCCCACCGGGCCATTTCTGTGCGCCCGACTGATTGGGGCTGGCCTCGCCCCTGGGCACACAGCACAGGAGCGGCGCCGGCCCCTGGGCCTATCAGCTCTGGAGACCCATTTAAAAGAGTTTGAGAACCGCTGGCCTACACCACAATTAAACAACCCCTTAGACCAGTGGTCCCCAACGCAGTGCCTACGAGCGCCATGGCGCCCACCGGGCCATTTCTGTGCGCCCGACTGATTGGGGCTGGCCTCGCCCCTGGGCACACAGCACAGGAGCGGCGCCGGCCCCTGGGCCTGCGGGC